TAATCGCATGCCAATGTGCATTGGCTCGTTTAGTTTACACTCGAAGTAGATTGGTCCCTCTAAGCGAGATCCCAATACGTAGGTCATCCGACGTGACGTCGAGAGTGACCGACTGAAAGGGAACGTATCATTCCAAACTTGTATGCTGTTATTCTCTCAAATATTTTCTCCTGTTTTTGAAGAATCTTTAAGCAGATCTTGCCATACGAATATTATCTGGAAAATATTTACTTTGTATTCATTCATTTGTAGCATGTCTTTTTTTAGCCACTATTAGATAATTACTGATAGATGTATAAAACTGAAAAGAAATAAATTACATTTTAAACTCTATTAAAAGAGAAACAAAGTTATTTTCAATTGTAATAATATTTTACAATATTACTGTATATGTGATCAAATAATTATGTAAGTATTGCCTTATTTCTAAAATACTGCTTTGCAATCCTCAGTAAACAAGTTAGTATCAATGGCAAGGAGAAACTTGCATGTTGATCACTGATCGTATGTACATGGACAATTTTAAGTTTTATAAAAGAAAAAATATATATACATATTTTTTGTTAAAAACTAAATTAAATTATCATTATTAATAATATACACTTAGAAAGTAGAATGAATAATAAAACTGTAACTAGGCCTGTCGCAATAATCAATATATCGACTTATCGCGCAATATATGTCCATGACAGGGGCGTGTCTAGAGCATTTTAAATGGGGGGGCCAGTCTGGGGCTCACTAATTTCAGAAGCACCCTCAGTGATTATTTCTGGAACCTGGTTGATACGCTTTTATTGCAAAACTATATACAAAAACAACAAAATACAAATGCACTAAATAAAATAATTGAATAAATGCATATTTACAATTTAAGCACTTAACTTAAATAAGTAGGCTATTAATAAAATAAAAAACTAGAGAAGGCTGACTATAATCAGCTTGCTTCCATTTAGTGAGATAAGCCTACCTCACCTGAATTAGAAAAAAAGCTCTTAGTCTTCAGTGATGCGAAGACAACGTTTGAGCGTGTACACGCAATAACTGAGTGATTGCAGAGCCAATTCATAAAAGAACAACATTTAAAAGCACACGTCCAATTTTGTGTGAGTGAAAGGAATCACAGAAGTGAGACTATTGCCTTTCTCCAGTTGATAGCTTATGTCAGGGGTGACAGGACACTTCTCTTTACTTAGAGTAGACTGCATAATTTAATTGATGTGAATGAAACAAGGCTGTGAGAAATAGTCCACTTAGTATGCCATAATGTTTTAAAATAACACAAATTTAAAATGCACTTTTTCGCTAAGTGTCCCGTTACACAAATATTTGAGATCACGTAGGTGAAATTGTTGAAAACGCTGTTTCATGTCACTTTTAAGGTCCTAGCTCACGTCTTATTTTAACAACAGAGTTTGTTGTCTAATGTAAATATTTTTGAAAGACTTTTAGAGATTTTTTTTTTACTTTTTCAATGTTTCGTCTGCTAAATGATTGATGTCCACAAACAGGCCTGTAGTCTCTCGCAACCTTATTTTGTTTGCAAACAAATCTCAACTACTCTGAACATCAGAGTAGCTGCCATGTGGTCGGCTGGTGACAGGTAATCTCGTCCCAGTGACTCTAAAAACAGCAGGAGTTCAAACACAAACCCCTCGCTCCGCATGTAAACATGCAGAGAAACTCAAGTGGAAGGGGTTTCTGTTGACACTACGGCAGGTGGTTAGATATACACTCTTTAAATAAACTTTTAAACTGATAATAAGCTCGTATCACAACAGCCCTTAATCTTGTTTTCTTGTTGTTGTGTGTTACGTTGCGTTGCTACCTCAGGTAACGCTAATCCCTTTGAACACAGGGTGTTTAACGAAGGATGATGATGCATGAAGACTTTGTTCACAGATGCAAATGCTCAACAGACACAAGCGCAGCATGTTTTGACTCGAAAGGCTCAGTGTCAGATTTAGGTTCCGTCTGTACGTTAGCAATCGCTGATGATTTTTACTGCTCAAGAAAAATCAGTCAACAACACAAGATGGGACGAGGTATGGAGTAGGCCTGTCGCAATAATCAATATATCGACTTATCGCGCAATATATGTACATGACCTAAATAATTTTTGGTGATGCAATATATCGCCCATTATATTTATTTAAAAATTAATGTCACCATGTTTTGTACATTCCACTTGCCCCTGTGTCTTTTACAGCTTCTCGTACATAACGTGGTGTAGTCATGACGTGCTAGTTCAAATAAAAAAAATGTTTCTACAAACAAAGTTTCATCTGCAGATATGGTCTTGTTTAGGGATCTGTGCCTTTGTGCATACGGACATCTTACTGCTAAGTAGTGATTGTGTTTTTCAGAAATAGTGTGCACCCTTAATTTACAGAGAAAAGAAGGTCAGGAAAAAAATCTGTAGATGGAAAAATCTCCATACAAGTTCATTGTGCATTTTTCTTTTTTCCTTCTTGCTACTTTGCACGTTTTGTAAAAAATTTGTTTTAAGGTTTTTTAAGGTATCTAGTATTTTGATACCTAATTTCCATGATCTAAATATTCTTAAAAATTTAAAGTTTGTTGTCATTTGGAAGTGTGTAGGCCTTCTTGCATTATTATGCTGTTACATTAAAAAATGGCAATAATATCGCTTATCGCAATTATTTCTGGGGCAATGTATCACACAACAAAAAGTTGTTATCATGACAGGCCTAATTGTAACAATATAAAAAATAAAGAAAAATATGTTTAAAACATTTAATTAAAGTTAACTTTGATAGAGACTACTAAGACTGAAATTGAGATTTATACATCACCTGAAAGCTTTCCATTGATATATGGTTTGTTAGGATAGGACAATGTTTGGCCGAGATACAACTATTTGAAAATCTGGAATCTGAGGGTGCAAAAAAATCTAAATATTGAGAAAATCGCCTTTAAAGTTGTCCAAATTAAGTTCTTAGCCATGCATATTACGAATCAAAAATTAAGTTTTAATATATTTACAGTAGGAAATTTACTAAATATCTTCATGGAACATGATCTTTACTTAATATCCAAATGATTTTTGT